GACCCATATCCCTCCATCCCTGAACCTAGGTTCAATACCCAGACATTCATTCCTCCTCCTTCCAATTCCACTGACCTCGCAAACCTATTAACTTCTTTCCTCTATGAATTTAGATCCCTCATCACCCCTCTTATTTCATCTCTTACCAATGTTATATCCAACCTCATTCCACCGCCGAGAAATCCATAAATGTCCTCAACCAAATCCCTCTCCATTCTCCTATGGAATGCGAGTGGTATTCGAAATCACATCAACGAACTGATAATCTTATTACATGACAAAAACATCGACATAGCACTAATAACTGAAACCCGACTAACCAACAAACGACTAATCAACGTTCCTGGCTGCAATATTTATAGAACCGATCATTCTGATGGAACAGCACATGCTGGCACTGCTATAATTATCCACCGATCTCTCTCCAAACATTTATTTCCCTTACCAACCCATAATTTCATACAATCCACTGCCGTAATAATCCAAACTTTCTTTGCTCAATAACATTAGTTGCGGCATATTCCCCGCCTAAAATACCCATTTCCGAATCCCAAATAATTTCCTTCCTGAATTCCTTAGGACACCATTTCATCCTAGGTGCAGAATTAAATGCAAAACACCAACAATGGGGAGCCAGATCCACAAATTAATGAGGGCGAACACTGCTATCTGCACTTAATTCCCATCGCAGCAACATCCTTTCACCTAATACTGCCACATACTGGCCAACATATCCCAACCGCAATCCCGACCTTCTAGACTTTTTCCTACATAAAGGTCTAGGATCACTACACTGATCCATTTCAAGGCTTGATGATCTTTCCCCAGACCACAGTCCTATAGTCCTAACCGTTTCCACATCACCCATTCCTAAATCGTCCACTCCTTCATTTATCAGGGGTCCACTTAACTGGAACGTTTTCCGTCAAATATTGGATGATAATATAGACCTCACAGTTTCCTTAAAAACAATTAAAGACCTTGATGATGCAGTGGACTCCTTCACTACCCTGATCCAGCAAGCAGTTTGGACTGCATCCTCACCTGATCGTCCCAAAAAACACCTCAGTATAAATCCTCTACCCCAAGACCTATTGGACCTTATCCATAGCAAACGATGCTCTAGGGCCCTCTGGCAAAGAACCAGGCATCCTGATGACCGGAAATAATTATTATTTCGGTATAATTATTATTCCAAACAGGTAAAAAAGAAACTGGATACCTTTAGAACCCAATTCTACAATTCATACCTTTCCTCATTATCATCTAGTGATAACTCCCTCTGGACTGTAACTACAAAAATCCTTATATTCCAATCCATTTCCCACCCCTCCGCCGTGATGATGGTTCCTGGGCTAAGTCAGATGTGAATAGAGCTGAAGAGTTTGCTAAACATCTATCCTACACATTCACTCCCCATCCCGAACTCTATCCCACCCACACTGCTGAAGTTAAAGAATTACTCTCTTCACCAATTCCTCTCTCTTTACCTCCAAAACCTGTTAACCCCACTGAGGTCAAATTCCTCATAAACAAATTATCCCCTGGATATGATCTCCTCACTTCACAAATCCTTAGACAACGTCCCAAAAATCAATTATATTCCTGACCTGTCTATATAATTGCATCCTTCGTACTACCAACTTTCCCTTGATGTGGAAATACTCCTTCAACGTGCTGTTTCCAAAACCAGGCAAACCTGTTAATAACTCATCATCCTGCAGAGCGAAAAGCTTACTCCCTATCCTCTCAAAAATCTTTGAGAAAATCCCTCTCACACGCATCCTACTCATATTCGAATCCCACAACATCCCTTCTCATCAATTTGGATTCCGCTCAAGACATTCCACTGTCCAACAAGGCCTTCGTGTTGTGGACCATACATCCTCTGCACTTCAAAACAAGCTATATTGCACTGGTGTCTTTCTAGACGTTGCTTTCGACCGAGTGTGGCACGATGGCTTGCTTTTCAAGCTCAAAACCCATTTACCCCAATCCTTATACCTAGTCCTCAAATCCTATCTCTCAAATCGTTCCTTCCAAGTCCGTTGCTGCACCTAATTCTCCACTTACTGTCCAGTTGAGGCTGGTGTTCCACAAGGCAGTGTTTTGAGATCAGTTCTCTACATCCTTTTCACTGCCGATATCCCTTCAAATCCCGATACCTTCCTAGCTACATTTGCTGATGATACTGCCATTCTATCCTCTCACTCAGATCCTCAAATAGCATCTCAAAACCTACAATCTCACCTCTCCTTGATTGAGAAGTGGTGCAACAACTGGCGTATCAAAATCAATGAAGCAAAATGTAAACATATTACTTTCACCCTGCCAAGCAGATCCTGTCCCACAATACTTTTCAATTCAATACCACTTCCCTACTCAGATACAGTCCGTTACCTTGGCTTCCTTCTAGACAAAAGACTAACTTGGAACCCACATACGAGACTTAAAAGACAAGAACTTAACCAACGATATGCCCAGCTATATAGACTACTAAGCAGGACATCTCATCTTTCGATTGAAAATAAACTTTTAATCTACAAGACAATACTGAAACATATCTGGACCTACGGAGTTGAACTGTGGGGAACTGCTAAACATTCGAATAACAAACGCATCCAATCCTTCCAGTCCAAAGTACTTAGAACAATAGTCAATGCCCCATATTATGTCACAAATAAGACCCTACACCATGACCTTGACATCCCATTTGTCCTCGACATCATCCCATCCAGATTCTCAAACTTTCACCAGAACCTTATCCATCATCCAAATCCTCTAGCTCAATCCCTATCCAGCTTCCACCATCCCTACAATCCCCCTCGAAGGTTAAAACGGCAGTGGCCGCGAGATCTATTGTAAATATGCTTCTGGAGTCCTGGCAATGGCCAGTTTCTCCTGAGCATCTGTGGCTAGTGCCCTCCTTCAGCCTCCACTGACTTTTAATACTAGTGATGCGGCTGGAAAAGTGGCACTGGGATCTCTGGAGTCCTTGCCTTCCACATCTGGGGAGAAAAGCCTGGCTCGGATATTCCTGGGCGAATGTATATATTGTATATAGGTATGAATGCGTTTAGAAGTTTTTATTTTATTTTGTTTGTTTATTTATTTCTTTATTTTTTCCTATCGATTTACATTTTTTTATAAGTATTATTTATTTACTTTTTATATTTATAGTTACTTATTTATTACTTATATATACTGTATGAATGAGAACTTCTAGCCTTAATACTTATAGCCTTCCAACAGTGGCTGATTGTATTATTATTCAATAAAAAAGAAATAAAAAAATAGGTTAACCTCGACATTGGATAACAAATAATTTGATTTTAGGAAAACCAAACAATAGATCTACCTGGAATTTTATAGGATTTGGAAGGCACAGTAATATAAAAAAGAAGAACAAGTTACCAAACCTAATAACAACAACAGACAATCCAACCCTTACCATTGGAAACTATGAATCACACACAGGTTAGCTATAACAGTCAATCATGGTATCCTTGATTATAAAATTGTACCACACATTATAATGAGCCTTCAACAGATTTTATATTTACTGATGATATTTTTCTAACCCCATACTAATTATACAATGAATTACATACAGTAAATTGCAACAGAAAAATGAAACTGAAAAACTTAGGTTTCTTAAATTATTAATGGGGTGGATTAATAATGCGATTCATTTTTTATACAATATTGTCAAATATCAATCGACTGATTGATTGAACCAACATTTCTTTTATAAATTGTTTCAAATTATAGAAAATATGTTTTAAAAAATCATGATTACCTTTTTTAATAATACAAAGGCTTTAAATGGAAAAAAAAACTTTTATTTTAAATAAGTTTTGGTATCAATGGAACTTTTATTGTCGATATATTCAGATATTTCCATTTCTTCTGTAACTAGAACTTTTCGTCTTGCATCGTTTAAAGAAAAGATTGTACAGAACTTAAAACAATTTCTGTTCATTCCTTTCATTCAAACATTTCGATCACTGTTTTTTTAACAGAAATAATGGGATCCTCTTCAGTTCTAGAAAAACATGGAAAAACATATATATATATATATATATACATACATATAAATAAAGTTAAGCGTCGATGATCTTAAACAATAAAAAAAAAAACAGGAAAAGGTTTGGGACAAAACACTCACGGCTTCTGAATCAATACTGCTTTATTCTTAAAATAATGCTTCTTATATACACTCGGCATGTTGTTTACATTCGAGGATGGTATTAAGGCTGATATTGTCAGTCTCCGGTCTTTATCTTTCCCCCACCAGTTTACGAATAGGATTTCGGAAACTCTTAAGTATTCCTAGAGCGGAGCGAACGGCATATCAGCCTTAACACCTTACACTTGTTCTTACCACTATACACTTAAAATAAACTAAAAATATCTCTTCTCTTCAGCTAGAACAAGAAAAAAAACACACACAAACAAAACAACAACAAAAAAACTCATGTTTACATCGTCTTACTAATAGGGAAACAAAACTATTATCAGCCAATAAAATAAAATAAAATAAAATCTTCAAAATTCGTCTACTATACAATAAAATACACGCCAAGAACGGCAAACCAATTATTTCCAAACTTTGTTACTTAGTTGAACTATAATCTTGTTATGCTAATCCATTGAAACAGGTTGGTAATCTTTTTCATGGTTATCAGGTTCAATTCATTAAGTTATTTTGTGTTTTATAGGGTTAATAACCTTGAAAAATATGTATTATCATTTTATTTAAATATATTAATGTCATTCAGTTGTTTCTCTTTTTTGTAAACCCACGCAAGTATATGTTTTATAATATCTACCATTCTTAATTTGTACCAACTCATTCTTATTTTCTTGCGTGAGTACGAATTCACTTATTCCTATTAATCATATACAATTTAAATTCTTATGAATAGATAAAATAAGCAATATCAGCAATCAATCATAGTGCTATGCCGATATTATTGAAACAAATTATTTTATTTCAGATAATATCAAAAAATTAAATGTTACCTCAAATTTTCGGAGTTTTAAGAAATACAACCATACGAAGCCTCTGAAAAATACCAAGAAGTTACCGGTATCTAATGGAAGTCCCCTTTCCACTGCAACTGCTATTAAAAATAATACACGTAGAAGACCAACAAAAGGTGAATATCGATATTTCATCACTACAGAAAACCACCCCTAAATACCCATCTCAATGATGAGCCAAGAACTGAACCTTTTAACAATAATAATATTAATATAATAAAAGGCAGGGGATAATTTATTAGATTAGAAAAATTATTTATTTCTCTTTGATATTTTTTCGCCTTTTGTTTGAATATAATTAAGTAAGTTTTATATTCAGTAATTATATATGTAAACATTATTTCTTATCTCTATGTTTGAGTTGAAAATATGTTACTTTTAATTATTTATTTATTATTATTATTAATAATTAATCATATGTTAGGCCAATATTATTAACCGACATTGATTGATTTTAGAACGTAACCAGAAGAATCATAAGACGTTAGCTTTTTCAGGAGGAGGATATAGAAAACCGAATCATACGAAGGTTCCAACAATGACTAAGAATTTACCAATTAAATCTACCCGCCCCTACTCCACTTCAGTGACTGTAACTAAAGAAGAATCAAGAAAACCCTATAAAGGTGGATAAACAATATTTCAATATTATATATGAATATATATATATATATATATATATATATATATATATATATATATATATATATATATATATATATATGGTAATTATTTACAAACGGTGCTCCACCGGCCATCTTTGCTAAAGTGATGTTATGGGTTGTGTTCTGATAACGTTTACAAAACACACCACCAGGAAGCGCCACTATTGCAGAGGGGTTGTCTTGTCCCCTCCACCTTACGTTCATTACAAATAATTACCAAATGTAATTTTGTATTGTAACCTTTACAATATATAGTACCCACCATTTTTTTTTAACTTGTCGATTTCTTTGTATCTTCAATATATCGATTAACCAAACTTTAAATTTTAGATGCTATTATAGACATATATTACCTACATCAATTTATTTTCCCATTATGTATTACTAATATTATTTATGATTGGTAAATGGTAGACTGCCGTGGATAATGAAGAGAAGAATAATGGATAATGAGTTGAGGTGGTCAGTCAAAAAAGAAGGCAAAAATAAATGATAATATTATTTATGATTATAGTGTTTATATAATGCCCGTTTTTGTTTTTTTAACTTTGAGATTCATCATTATTAACTATTTTCGCTTTCCTTATCATAAATTAAAGAAGTTTATTAACTTAAGTTTTGTTTTAATAGTGACACTTTATCTGTAATTGTACATTACCTATGCCCAATATTAATACAATTCAGGAAGAATTAAACAATTTCCTATAAGGGTTTAGGCGATTCATTTAATTTAAAATAATCAAAGAACAAAACACTACTGACATTCCTTTAAATCTGAACTTGTCAGCAACATTACAAGTTCTTAGTGATTGGTCCCTTGTACATTCCCCTTGAAACCGCACATTTTCTACATAATTAATATCTTAGCAACCTGTAAGTATATACAAAACGCAATACTCCAAGAGGTATTTAGTTAAGGAGTAATCTTTTTCAAGCCTGTAAGATTTATAACAGATGCTTTAAATATATTTTTACCTATGCATCTCAATTATTCACATTTGGTTATTATAATTCCTAAATTTTCTTAATCTCCAAACCAATTTAAATTATCTGACCAGTTATCTCTAGCCATTTCCATTGTGTCTCCTTATATTATCTGTATCTACTTTTATATTGTATTGTCTCATTAATTTTTCTGAATCCTCTCAGAATGAGATATTAGGCAAGAAAGTGTAAGTTATCTTCATCATGTGTATTCCGCCAGACGTAAGTCTTTACCTTCTTCCAAGGAATTAAATTGACCAAGGAAAAGTAACCTAGAATACCTTATTCTTTTGTGCAAACAAATATATTTATTTTATACAAACAGTTCTTCGTGAATAAAATATTCAATTAAAAATATCTAATTAACACACAGGACACTTCCTTTGGAAGAAAAAAATTTAAATGCACTTTATAAATAAGTACAACATAATTTACTAAGAACCAATATTTATAGGCATAATAAAATTTATCAACTTTAAATTAAACTCGATGCCTGAAGTGTCATGGCCGCTAGTGCAATTCAAGTTACACGTCGCTCTGCCTTTGATACGATCTAATGTGCTTATTATTTAAAATACTGCTCTAAGACTTTTTCAACAGTGACTATATTAATAGTTTTATATTTTTATATTCACATATGATCAGGTGAGTGACTATTTATTAACAATGAAACAGTTATAAATTAGTGCTCGTTTGGTTAGCCCATGTGGCTAGTAATTCCCTTGCGGGTTTTACCTTATCTCCGATAAGTTCAAGCCAAGGCTCGGCACTGTGTACAATAACATTCTTCAGTGTTGTTCTCAGTTCGAATCCAAGACATTTAACTTCATTTTTTTTTTCTTTATATTTTCTTTTTTTTTTTTTTCTTTCCAGAGACTCTTTTATTTCATTTTTTTTCTTTGATTATTTATTTTTTGGAAATGAATTATTTTATATTTTATTTTATATCTGTATATATTTATGTAAATAATTTTGTAAATAGCTTAGTGTTTAAGAAGTTATCTCATAAATTTTAATTTTAATATTTAGGTTTATATATATATATACATATTTTTTTTTCTTTTTCTTAATTTTCTCTAACACTTATCATGATGGATCTGGATAAGAACACATCATGTGAAGACACGGAGGATGAGACACCCTTTTCGGAAATTAGCGAGACCGACTCGCAATATTTGAAAAGGCGTACACTCCAAAAGCGTCTCCGAAACTCAGTTCCCGGATCGGGACAAAACTCACCTAATAAAAAAAAAAAGAAAAATAAATCAAATAAGCAACCAGAACAAGATAAATCTCCACCGAGAACTAGGAGCAAATCTAATGCCACTCAATCAGAGCCAACTGCACCAAAAACATCAGAAAGCAAAAATTCAATTCAAGAAAACAACCTATCTCACAAGACTCCGCAGCTTCAAGATTTTTCTGATCCTGAGCCGCCGCCAATATTTGTTTCAAAAATTAAGAACTTTATGTCGTTTGGTCAACAAATTGCAGACTTGATCGGACAGCCAAATTTTCGATGTTACTCGAGAGTGAACGACATCAAAATTAATACTAATTCTAGAGACAATTATAAAAAACTAATCAATTTCTTAACGACCAATAACTACGACTTCCACTGTTACCAATTAAAACAAGAAAAGGCGTATCGAGTGGTCCTGAGAGGACTACATTCAACCACACCCATATCTGCTATCAAATCGGGCCTCGAAGAAATCGGTCATAATGTCAGGCACATAGCACCTGTACTACATCCTAGAGAAAGATATCCGCTACCATTATTTTTTATAGACCTGGAACCAGCAAAAACCAATGTTGAAATATTCCAGGTTCAACGATTGGTTTACTCAATCGTCCGTTTTGAGGAACCGAAACAGAAGCCTCTAGTTGTACAATGCACTAAGTGTCAAAACTTGGGCCATACAAAGGCCTATTGTTATCACGAAGTCAGGTGCGTTAAATGTGCCGGCCTACACGCTTCAAACACTTGCCAGAAGCCAAGAGATGAGCCTGCGATGTGTGCTCTTTGTGGCGAAGCCCATCCTGCGAGCTACAGAGGATGTGAAGTATATAAAAATCTTTACAAACAAAGATCACGAAACTCAGCGGTGAAAAATCTTGGATCTGCTCAGAAAACTTACACTGAACCACCTGAAATTGAAAATCAGGATATTTTCCCAGCATTGCCGACTTCACCTTCCCTCGTCATCCAACAACAACCATCCATCTCTACAGCTAAGGACTCACCTCACCAGAATCTCAGAAATTCTCACTCCCAGTCTTCCACCAGTAAGAAGCAACCTCAACGTCAGGCGCCTCAGGCCTTCCAATCCAAGCCCAAAATCCCTAATACTCAGCCTCAACCTCCTCGCCAGCAAATCCCTCCTCATCATTTACCCTTAAGAGTCAAACTCCCGCCAGAGCATCCACATCCAGCTCCATTCGTTCCTAATCCCAGGATGAACCCCCCTCCACAAGTCCAACAGAATTTAGATCCTCCTCCTCCTCGTACCCCACGACGGGCCCATCCCCCACCCAACATTCCTAGTCGCATAACCTACCCATCACAACCTCCTGATCCAAACCCATTTTCCAGCCAAACACCATTCGACATCAACACTATCTTATCATCATTCCTGATAGATCTTCAACAGACTATCAAACCGCTCATAACCCTTCTAACCAGACTCCTTTCTGAAATCCCGCTTAGCTTCCCTCGATGAACTCAAAGTCCCTAGCTATTCTCTTATGGAACGCTAATGGACTGCAAAACCACCAAGACGAACTAGACATATTTCTCCATGACAATTATATTTACATTGCCCTCCTAACAGAAACTCACTTCACCCAACGGACACATTTCTACATACGTGACTACATCACCTATAGATCTGACCACCCAGACAACACTGCCCACGCCGGTTCTTGCATCCTTATCCACAAATCTTTACCCCATTCCCTTATTCCTTCTATTCCAACAGATGCCATTCAGTCAACTTCTGTAATCCTCTCAACTCGTCCTTTCCATCTAACTCTTTCAGCTGTATACTGTCCTCCTGGCAATTCCCTCTCGTACAGCCTACTTGAATCCTTTTTACAATCCCTCGGATCGCGCTTTATTGCTGGAGGAGACTACAATGCTAAACACCAACGATGGGGTTGTCGATCATCCAACTCCCGTGGTAATACCCTTTCACAAGTTTCTTCTTCCAACAATTATTCCATCCTCTCGCCCATGAATCCTACTTATTTTCCAACATCCCTCAAAAAACGTCCCGATATCCTGGACATATTTATCACCTCCCAGATTTCCTCCTCCCAAACTATAATCAAATCCCTGGATGACCTTTCTTCAGACCATAGTCCAGTTCTGCTTTCACTACATTCTGACTTTGCTCCTAAACCATCACTTCCTAAACTGATCACTGGACGAGTAAACTGGGACAAATTTCGTGATGATTTGGAAAACAAACTAGACCTCAAAATCCCGCTAAAAACAAAAGAAGACATTAATGGTGCCATAGAAAAACTGACATCATCAATAACAGACAGTATAAATAATAACACCTTTATCAATAAGATTAACTTCCCACAAAATACTAACTTGCCACAGCATATTCGCATCTTATTACAGGAAAAACGCAGAGCAAGATCGAAGTGGCATAGGACTAGATACCCAACAGATAAATCGCATTACACACAACTGACTAACAAACTGAAATCAGAAATTAGAAAATACAAAATTCAAAACTTACTAAATTTTACTGAAAAACTTACAACCACTGACAAATCATTATGGATGACCACCAAAAAACTTCTTAAGTTTCAAGACTTTAATCACCCACTACTTACTGATTCCCAAACCTGGTCCAAATCCGACGAAGAAAAAGCCCAACTATTTGGAAAACATCTTTTCCAAACTTTTAATCCACATCCCGATATCCTTAATTCAACTCACATCAATTGTATTGAAGCAGAACTGGAT